GCTGGTCATGAGGTGGTGGGTGCTGGTCATGAGGGTAGTGGGTGCTGGTCATGAGGGTAGTGGTGCTGGTCATGAGGGTAGTGGGTGCTGGTCATGAGGTGAGTGGGTGCTGGTCATGAGGGTGGTGGGTGCTGGTCAGGAGGTGGTGGGTGCTGGTCATGAGGGTAGTGGGTGCTGGTCATGGGGTAGTGGGTGCTGGTCATGAGGGTAGTGGTGCTGGTCATGAGGGTGGTGGGTGCTGGTCAGGAGGGTGGTGGGTGCTGGTCATGAGGGTAGTGGGTGCTGGTCATGAGGGTGTGGGTGCTGGTCATGAGGGTGGTGGGTGCTGGTCATGAGGGTAGTGGGTGCTGGTCATGGAGGGTAGTGGTTGCTGGTCATGAGGGTGGTGGGTGCTGGTCATGAGGTAGTGGTACTGGTCATGAGGGTAGTGGGTGCTGGTCAGGAGGGTAGTGGGTGCTGGTCATGAGGTAGTGGGTGCTGGTCATGAGGGTGGTGGGTGCTGGTCATGAGGTAGTGGGTACTGGTCAGGAGGGTGGTGGGTGCTGGTCATGAGGTAGTGGGTGCTGGTCAAGGAGGGGTAGTGGGTGCTGGTCATGAGGTAGTGGGTGCTGGTCATGAGGGTGGTGGGTGCTGGTCATGGGGGTGGTGGGTACTGGTCAGGGAGGGTGGTGGGTGCTGGTCATGAGGGGTGGTGGGTACTGGTCAAGGAGGGTAGTGGGTGCTGGTCAGGAGGGTGGTGGGTGCTGGTCATGAGGGTGGTGGGTGCTGGTCATGAGGGGTAGTGGGTACTGGTCCAGGAGGGTGGTGGGTGCTGGTCATGAGGGTAGTGGGTACTGGTCAGGAGGAGTGGTGGTGCTGGTCATGAGGTGGTGGGTGCTGGTCTGAGGGTGGTGGGTGCTGGTCATGAGGGTAGTGGGTGCTGGTCATGAGGTAGTGGGTGCTGGTCAGGAGGGTGGTGGGTGCTGGTCATGAGGTGGTGGGTGCTGGTCATGAGGTGGTGGTGCTGGTCATGAGGGTGGTGGGTACTGGTCAGGAGGTAGTGGGTGCTGGTCATGAGGGTGGTGGGTGCTGGTCATGAGGGTAGTGGGTACTGGTCAGGAGGGTGGTGGGTGCTGGTCTTGAGGGTGGTGGGTGCTGGTCAAGGAGGGTAGTGGGTGCTGGTCATGAGGGTGGTGGGTGCTGGTCAAGGAGGGGTGGTGGGTGCTGGTCAAGGAGGGTGAGTGGGTGCTGGTCATGAGGGTAGTGGGTGCTGGTCAAGGAGGGTGGTGGGTGCTGGTCATGAGGGTGGTGGGTGCTGGTCAAGGGAGGGTAGTGGGTGCTGGTCATGAGGGTGGTGGGTGCTGGTCATGAGGGTGGTGGGTGCTGGTCATGAGGGTAGTGGGTACTGGTCAGGAGGTGTGGGTGCTGGTCATGAGGGGGTGGGTGCTGGTCATGAGGGTGGTGGGTGCTGGTCATGAGGTAGTGGGTGCTGGTCATGAGGGTAGTGGGTGCTGGTCATGAGGTTAGTGGTGCTGGTCATAGGGTGGTGGGTGCTGGTCAGGGGTAGTGGGTGCTGGTCATGAGGGTGGTGGGTGCTGGTCATGAGGGGTGGGTGTGGTCATGAGGTGGTGGTGTGGTCATGAGGTGGTGGGTGCTGGTCATGAGGTAGTGGGTGCTGGTCATGAGGGTAGTGGGTGCTGGTCATGAGGTGGTGGGTGCTGGTCATGAGGGAGTGGGTGCTGGTCATGAGGTGTGGGTGCTGGTCATGAGGTAGTGGGTGTTGGTGGTGGTGGGTGCTGGTCATGAGGTGGTGGGTGCTGGTCAGGAGGGTAGTGGGTGCTGGTCATGAGGGTAGTGGGTGCTGGTCATGAGGTGGTGGGTGCTGGTCATGAGGTAGTGGGTGCTGGTCATGAGGGTAGTGGGTGTTGGTCATGAGGGTGGTGGGTGCTGATCATGAGGATGAGGTGGGTGCTGGTCATGAGGGTAGTGGGTGCTGGTCATGAGGGTAGTGGTACTGGTCAGGAGGTAGTGGGTGCTGGTCATGAGGGTGGTGGGTGCTGGTCATGAGGGTGGTGGGTGCTGGTCATGAGGGTAGTGGGTGCTGGTCATGAGGTGAGTGGGTGCTGGTCATGAGGTGGTGGGTGCTGGTCATGAGGTGGTGGGTGCTGGTCATGAGGTGGTGGGTACTGGTCATGAAGGTGGTGGGTGCTGGTCATGAGGGTGGTGGGTGCTGGTCATGGGGAGTGGTGGTGCATGAGGGTAGTGGGTGCTGGTCAGAGGTAGTGGGTGCTGGTCAGGAGGGTAGTGGGTGCTGGTCAGGGAGGTATTGGTAGTGGTGCTGGTCATGAGGTGGTGGTGCTGGTCATGGTGGTGGGTGCTGGTCATGAGGTGGTGGCTGGTCATGAGGTAGTGGGTGCTGGTCATGAGGTAGTGGGTGCTGGTCAGGAGGTGGTGATTTGGTCATGAGGTGTGGTGCTGGTCATGAGGGTGGTGGGTGCTGGTCATGAGGGTGGTGGTTTTGGTCATGAGGGTGTGGTGCTGGTCATGAGGTAGTGGGTGCTGGTCATGAGGGTAGTGGGTGCTGGTCATGAGGTGGTGGTGCTGGTCATGGGGGTGGTGGGTGCTGGTCCTGAGGGTAGTGGGTGCTGGTCATGGTGGTGGGTGCTGGTCATGAGGGTGGTGGGTGCTGGTCAGGAGGTGAGTGGGTGCTGGTCAGGAGGTAGTGGGTGCTGGTCAGGAGGTGGTGGTGCTGGTCATGAGGTGAGTGGTGCTGGTCATGAGGTAGTGGGTGCTGGTCATGAGGTGAGTGGGTGCTGGTCATGAGGTAGTGGGTGCTGGTCGTGAGTGGTGGTGCTGGTCAGGAGGTGGTGGGTGCTGGTCATGAGGGTGGTGGAGTGCTGGTCATGAGGTAGTGGGTGCTGGTCATGAGGTGGGTGCTGGTCATGAGGTGGTGGGTGCTGGTCATGAGGGGTAGTGGGTGCTGGTCATTGGTGGTGGGTGCTGGGTCGAGTGAGTGGTGCTGGTCGAGGGTGGTGGGTGCTGGTCATGAGGTGGTGGGTGCTGGTCATGAGGGTGGTGGGTGCTGGTCATGAGGGTAGTGGGTGCTGGTCATGGGGTAGTGGGTGCTGGTCATGGGGTAGTGTAGTGCATGAGGTGTGAGTGCTGGTCAAGAGGTGGTGCTGGTCATGAGGTAGGTGCTGGTCATGAGGGTAGTGGGTGCTGGTCATGAGATTTACAACACGAGCTTACACAAAATACAACCCCAAGAACAGGCGAACATAAGAGATGAGCTGAATGTTATAATCGTCTTCACAACTGCAGCTGAGGCAGGGATATTTCTTACTTGATATATAAGCTAATAGTGTACTAAGCTGACACACCGGTGGTAACAGAGTGTAAAAATGACATGTATACATGCTTCTGTGTGTGTGTGTGTGTGTGTACATGTACATTTGTTCTAACGCCGTATATCCCCACGTCCGTTGAAGAACTTTATGAGCGCCAGTCGTCCTGTGGTTTATGAGACTTCTAAAACTTACTTCGTTTTATTGTTATTATGTGAAGACGCTTATATACTGTGTGTGGTGGAGGGAGGAGAAGGGAGGTGAAGGGTGTAATTATTCTTTGGAACGTAAATTAAGTTGATACTGAGTTTCCTACCTATCCCTCCCCTGACCTTAACTCGCAGCTCCAGTGAGGCAAACACACGCCATAATGGGACAACACAACAATAATGGAACACACACACACACACACACACACTATAATGGTTGCCCCTCGTGTTCGATGATGGCCGGCCCAGGGCCACCTAGACGTAAATTTGTTTAAGGTGTAGAAGCTGTCGCTAACACACCAATAACACCCTTAGTTAACTAACTGTATGACTCAGTGTCAAGGACTGATACAATAAGACCGGAGAACTCGCAAACTGCACTGGCTAATCATTACCCCGAAACACGACCCATAAATCGATTAACATCGAGGTCCCAAATTACTACTGGGCAGACAGAGGCAAATGCCCGAGCATCGAACTCGGATTCACTCGCTTGCAAGCCGGGCATGCTGACCATTACACCACAGGTCGCCTTACAACACACACACACACACACACACACACACACACACACACACACCAATTTGAAATCAAATGCAGATGCTATATAACGTACACTCAGAGGAATCACAACACGCTCACACGACATACAGTCCGTCAGACAGTAATAACCATCTTAGCGGCTCTAGTCCATTCATATAAACATAACTGCTTCGTCTTGCACCACCCAGTGAGCGTCTTAGCTACATCTCTTGCGCGCGCGCACGCACACACACACACACACGTAGGAGTACCCGGCACGGCAGAGACATCAATTAACAGCGAGATACAACCCGTCCTCCATCTTGCACCAGGAGAATCTAACCCACAATACTGGTGGGTTTTAACCCTACTTGGCGGAACCAGATACTAAATCAAGCTCCTTTGTCGACGCCTTATTACATCCTCCTGCCGGGAGTCATGGCCAGGTTGCATGCGAGGCTCCGTGTGTGTGTGTGTGTGTGTGTGTGTGTGTGTGTGTGTACAAAAATAGATACCGGTACGCGTGTAGGCCCGTGGTATACGATGACATACGACTTGTGAGAATATATTTCCACACTAAAGTATATACCTGTACAGAATATACGTGATGGTTGACAAGAGTACAGTATATTTATGAAGACGTTGAAGTATATTTATATAATGCTTACACGTAATTGTGTGTAAGTCTTAAAATATTCTGTACATGAAGATTTGCGTTATACTCCGTTATATGAAGAGAACAAAAAAGTCTTAAACTAAAAAAATATCACCATATACACACGAAGTCCAAACACTAATAACAACAGAAAAGTTTTATTTATTTAACAAAAATATTTTATTGTGTTTTAAGACTAATGGGTTAATTAATCCCCAAACATAAGACAGGTACGGTATTAAGTGTTTCCTTACCTGTTGAGGACACCCTTGAACACCTCACCTGGGCCAGTTCCTCACAAGACCACACCTCACCTGGGCCAGTTCCTCACGAGACCACACTTCACCTGGGCCACTTCTTCACAAGACCACACCTCACCTGGGCCAGTTCCTCACAAGACCACACCCACTGACCAGTTCTCACGAGACCACACTTCACCTGGGCCACTTCTTCACAAGACCACACTCACCTGGGCCCAGTCACCTCCAGTTCCTCACAAGACCACACCTCACCTGGGCCAGTTCCCACAGACCACACCTCACCTGGGCCAGTTCTTCACAGACCACACCTCACCTGGGCCAGTTCTCACAAGACCACACCTCACCTGGGCCAGTTCCCCACAGACCACACCTCACTGGGCCAGTTCTCCAAGACCACACCTCACTGGGCCAGTTCTACAAGACACACCTCCCTGGGCCAGTTCCTCACAGACCACACCTCACCTGGGCCAGTTCTTCACAAGACCACACCTCACCTGGGCCAGTTCTTCAAGACCACACTCACCTGGGCCAGTTCAGTCCCCAGTTCACAAGACCACACTCACCTGGGCCAGTTCTCACAAGACCACACCTCACCTGGGCCAGTTCTCACAAGACCACACCTCACCTGGGCCAGTTCTCACAGACCACACCTCACCTGGGCCAGTTCCTCACAAGACCACACCTCACCACCCTCACCTGGGCCAGTCTCACGAGACCACACCTCACCTGGGCCAGTTCTCACGAGACCACACTCACCTGGACCACCTCCTCGAGACCACACTCACCTGTAAGAAACAATAGTGATTACCACCCACACACACACACACTGCTACAACACTTAATATAAATTTTTTACAACTTCTTCACATCAAATAACATGAATAAACTAAGTTATAAGTGGTTCAGCTGACAACCTCACTGAGCGCCGACACACACCCACCGCGCCACACACACACACACACACACACCGAGCGCCGACACACACACTGACCGAGACACACACACACCGAGCGCTGACACACACACACACACACACACCGAGCGCTGACACACACACACTGAGCGCACACCACACACACACACCAGAGCGCTGACACACACACACACACACCGAGCGCTGACACACACACACACACACACACACACCCAGCGCTGACACACACACACACACACACAGAGCGCTGACACACACACACACACACACACACACTGATACCGGCTATATATGATTGATGTTTGTTGTATAAATAAATTCAAAGGGAACACACGCTACAACGAACCATGCCCCTAACGTAATTCAAGTCAACCCAAACCCAAACTAAGCCAACCAATCTAACCTAACTAGAGCAAATCTAACCCAACTTAACTTGACTTAACTTAATCCGTGTGTGTGGTGTGTGTGTGTGGGTGTGTGTGTGTCATGTGTGTGTGGTGTGGTGTGTGGGTGTGTGTGTGTGTGTGTTGGGGGTCGATGAAAGGGGGGGCCAGGGCAACGGAGGCGTCTAGTCGTTGCTAAGACACCGACAACATCCTGTGCCCAGCTATACGTCACCTGCTCTTGTGCACCGTCAGGAGGGGTTGATACTTATATAATAATAATAATAATAATAATAATAATAATAATAATAATAATAATAATAATAATAATAATAATAATAATAATAATAATAATAATAAGAATAATAATAAGAATAATAATAAGAATAATAATTATAATCTTCGATCAGCTCCAAATACAAAACAAACAAACACCAGGACAGCTACAGACTCCAGTGACACTTAGGAGAGATAACACTTGAGACGCCGTGGTACCAGCTGTCCCTCGAGCACCATTTTGAGCACTACCAGCTGGGATCAAGAGTGACGTCACCATCATAAACAATCACCCACTGAGGCTTCGTCGGGTAATGGCTACTGAACCCGACACTCCCCGAGTCCGGAGAAACCTATCCATTCCTTGTGTATCCCCTATCCATTGTGCAATACTAGTTTACTATCCTCCATTCTTCTACTACTACTACTACTACTACTACTACTACTACACACACCATCAGTTTTCTCTCTCCTCACACCTCACCTCACCTCCCTCCCTCCCTCGTCGCCTCCCCATCCCCCTCACCTCCCCGCCCTCCTCACCTCCCCACAGCTGTGCTCATTCTCGCACCTGCTCCCCCCGGCTACCAGATGAAAGACAAACACGATGGGAACAGATCAAACACCGGAGTTGGTCTTTTGTGTGGGGGAAGAAGCACACCAGGGCAATCTTTCCTCATTCCCGCCAGCCTCCACTTATATACCTGGAGGGCCACACACACACACACCTACTACCCCGCCCCGCCCCGTTCCACCCACCCTGCCCCGCCCCGCCCCGCCCCGCCCCCAGCCGCCACAATTAACATCAGTTTCCGAGTGTTGTAAATATTCTGAAGTCTTATGTGAGGGATTAAGAGTTTAAGATGACGTAGATTAATAAATGTTGTTATGGATATATCGTATAATTGTTGTGCTGGTGAGATAATCAGGTACTGTTTGTGTTTGTAGTTCTTGACCAGTTAATTTTGACTGGTTGACTGACTTATTAACTGACAGATCACCTTTTATTTATCATCATCATCATCTATTTCTTGTTCTTCTTCTTGCCCTTTTTTCTTGGTGGGGTGAAAGAGAGAACACACACACACACACACACACACACACACACACACACACACACACACACACACACACAGCAACACAATTCAAGAAACACGACGACTGTCAAGAAAAGGATGAAGGAAGGTAGAAGACAAAGACACGGTGAAGAGTCAATTTTCTCAGGACAAAGAAGGTGTAGGAGGGGTGAGGGAGAAGGGTGAGGGGGAGAGGAAAGGGAGACGAGGGATAGGAGGAGGAGGTGAGGGTGATGAGGGAGAGGTGAGGGTGATGGGGAATGAGGAGAGGAAGGAATAGCAGTGAGAAGAGGAGGAGCAGCAGGAGAGGTGTGAGAGGAGGTGAGGGGAGAGGAAGGAGTGACAGTGAAAGGAGAGGGGAGGCGTGAGGGAGGAGGAAGGAGCCTTGAGAAAAGGGGCATGGGAGAGGTGAGGGAAAGGAAGGAGCAAGAAGAAGGGCGAAAGTGAGGAGGGGGTATGGTGGGGGTAGATAGTGGGGAGGGGGGAGGGATTGGAGAAGCATGTGTGCTGAAGAGAGGGACTTGGGAGCGAAGTGTGGTGGAAGGAGGGACTGGGGTGGAAGATGTGGTGGTGGGAGGGACTGGGGAGGAAGATGTGGTGGTGGGAGGACTGGGGAAGATGTAGTGGGGAAGAGACTGGGGGAGGTAGATGTGGTGGGGGGGTGGGGAGGGTGTGGTGGGGAGAGAGAGAGAGGGACTGGGGAGAAGGAGGTGTACTGGGAGGGAGGAGTGGGGAGACACTGGGAAGGAAGGTGTGCTGGGGGAGGAGGTGTGCTGAGGGAGGGAGGTGTGCTGGGGAGGGGTATGCTGGGGGAGGGGGTGTACTGGGGGAGGGAGGTGTGCTGGGGAGAGACAGGGAGGGACATGAACACCAAGGGGGAAGACAGACTGAACGTGATTTGTTACCCAACTTTAAATTTTGCAGAGACCGGAGCCACGAGATCAACGGTAAAAATGTCAAGAGAGACGGGTGAGATGGGGAGGTGCAAGGGTATGAGGATGGGCGGGGAGGTGCAGGGAGGTGAGGTTGGATGGGGAGGTGCGAGGATACTTGAGGATGGGCGGGGAGGTGCAGGGAGGTTCAGGAATGTGAGGATGGGCTGGGAGGTGTGAGGTGAGGATCGACAGGTAGGTGCAGGGAGGCGAGGATGGGCGGGGAGGTGTTCGGGTAGAAGACTCTGAATTACCAAGAGAAGAGGTGTACATTGGAAGATATAAGGAGAGGAAGAGGATGAGGAGGTTTAGGTGGAGAGGAGGTGCTGGGGATGTGGAGGTTTGGACGGGAAGGTGCTAGAGAAGGGGAGGTGTGTGGGGATGAGGGGATGTGCCATGAGAGGATGCAAGAGTGGCCGTATTGGGGCTGTAGAACCCAAGTCACTTCTCCATCATACTGTACATAAACAAGCTGAAGAAGACACGTCCACTCCTTGGGACTTGGGAGGCCGGGGGCAGGAGACTCCAGGAGGGTCTCTTGGATCAACAAGGTGGGACTGGACGATGAAATGTACTCAGGTCCTTGTGTGTGTGTGTGTGTGTGTGTGTGTGTGTGTGTGTGTGTGTGTGTGTGTGTGTGCATCCTCATAGGCTCTCGTAATTACAGAAAGATTTATGACAGACATGAGTTACAGAGACAAGAGGAGGTTCCGTCAGGTAACATCCAGATAAAGATATGTACATAATTATGATGTTATACGGACATTATATACAATAACACACTTCAGTATCCTGTTATATCTGATCACCTGTGTCCTGAACCCCCCAAAACGCCACTCTGTGTTTTGATGATTCACTCATTATTCGAACTTGTTTGAACTCAACATTCAGTGACTCATTTACTAATGACAGTGTGTTTGTTCTTCCAACTTCACAAATTAAGACTCACGAGGTGAACCCTGCAGCCAGTGGCTAATGAATACACAATGCTCATTCCCATGTTTCAACTCTCACAACGTAATTCAGCATCCAATCGTTTACCTGTTACTGTAGCTTCAGTCCGCTGCTGTATTGATCCCTGCAGCAGTTGACATTTGAACACAATACAGTGAGTAACTTCCTCTACATGAACCATCTTTACTGAGCTCTGCAGGTGGATGGGGATTTGTAAAATACAAAGGGTTTGTAACAATGCTACAACACAAAATTTTCTCGTCATTATTGGAAACACAAGCTGGTAAAGCACAAATACATTAATGTCTATTCATTCCATTACTAAAACCACCTATGCTAAGGCTATACAAACATTCTACACAAAGTTAGTTTTATTATTCGAAACACCTGTACCGAACCCTGTTACTAGCAGTACCCGCTTCCACCAACTGGCAGAACACAAATGCAATACTGTATTATTCCTGCCCTCGCTTTAACCACCTGCGTTCAGCTATCCGCCGCCGGTAATACATTAATACAACTCAGATGGTTCGTTTTCGCCACCCGAGGCACTTCTGTACTTCCGAGAGATTAATGTTAATCGAACGGCTGCCCATTACCGTCGACCCTCGCCTACGAGACTGGCCAGGGAGGGTCGACGTTACGAGGCAAACCTTCCCAACGCATGCAAATATATGAAGAGCACAAACACATTTCTGAGGTTTGTGTTTCTTATCAAGTCTAGGCTGTTATCTTGGCTCTTATGGTGTACTCTGACCACTGCAATCATCGGTGTTGCTGTTCTTGATGCGGTAGCCACACAGCAGCAACCCATGGTGGTGTAGTCCATTGTCTGTAGCCCATGGTGGTGTAGTCCATTGTCTGCAGCCCATGGTAAGTCTGGTGTTGTAGCTATTGTTACTGTAAACATTGGAATGGCAACTTATGGTACTGTAATTAATGGTGTTGCAACTTGAAACACATGGTACTACAATGCATGTCTACCATTCATGGCAATGCCACACACTATACTGCAATTTAAGGTGGTGTGAAATTCTCGGTACTGCAGACCCATAGTACGACAACTCATCTCTCTCTCTCTCTCTCTCTCTCATCCTTGACCACCGAAGGGTCAAGACGTACCTGGCGCTCCTCTCGGAGCAGCCAGGTCAACTGTTAAGTTGGCCCATACCAACCCCCTCCCCTGAACCCTCCTCCCCACCGGAATATCAACAAGTTCTCGCCAGAAGTTA